GTGACGGCCGCGCTTTAGGCCTGTTAGGTGTGGGGGTGGGCTTCAACTTCAACAAGGGTTAATAACGACTGCTTGGAGACAGGGAAAGTCCTCCCTCGGTACAGGAGCGGGGGCGGGTCCCGGGTGAGTTGTGGCCGAGGATGCGCCGCGTCACAGGGACAAGTGGACAGGCACCTTCAACTATTTCCAGCACCTCTATGCCGAAAAAAATACACAACAAAGTGCAATATTTTAAAAATTTTATTCTCAATAAAAAAAAATTGCTTTAAGATTTTTACAAGAACTCAAAAATTATCCCCACAATTATACAATAGCACGACATGTAGAAGCTTACAAAACCATTCAATTTAGTGACAATTGCCTATTCTACTTGTCGTCTAATATCAAGGGGGAAACATAAAGAGGGAGATTTCAACTTCATTAATCTACCTGAATTGTCGAGAATGCTGTTATGATTTCAAACAAAGAACAGCTTGTGAGAAACTCAAATGATCAGACTTGAAATTCACAGAGAGAAGCCAGAAGATGGTCAAGGTGATATGAAACTTTAATTGAGAATCTCCCTCCTAAAGGTGCAAATTTGACATTTTCAGATATCCTTTCCAATCCCATCCCCCACAACACATATGAAGTCAAGATAAACACATTGAGTGGAAGGGATGTTTTGCCCTTGAAATTAAACCTATAGCATGATTACTAAAGTGTCATGCTGCATGTAATGAAACATTTGGGATCTTTTAAGATAAAGACTTAGTAAACAAATGCACAAGATTGTAAATTTAGATGTCACAATCAAAAATGATATTGGAACAACATAGTCATTAAAAGTAATTTATAGTCAACATGAAGTATTATTTAGAAGCCTTTTTTTTTTTGTAAAAGATTTGCTTTGAAGCAAAAACTCACCTCAGAACTTAAATCTCAAGGTACAAAGTAGTCAGGAGAAAAACTTTACAATTGTTAAAATAAATGTGGGTCAAGTGAAATACGAGCACAAAAAAAAAAAAAATAGCTGTCAGGAAACAGAAAAAATACAACAAGATGTCTCATGCAGTACTTACTCTCTATTATTCAAACAACAATAAAAAATAAATTATTAACCTGCTGGCTTTCCCAAAGCCATATTAAACATATGGAAATAAAAACAAAGAATAGAAAATTTGAATTTAAAGTAATAAATAGACGTGAAGTTTCCTCAAAAAATAATCCAAAAAGTTGCAACTATAATTACTTCCAGTCATCTTAAGGGAAAATAACAAGCTGAGTTTACTTCACACAACATACTAGTGTACTACAGGAAACACACAGGTACAGGGGATTGTGTGAAGTAAAATAAGCTTGAATTGATAGAAATTAAGAGGGTCTGTAGAAATGAGACAAGACTTCCACGGCGGCACTTCCAAACAGTAGGGCAGTAAATGCTGCACAAATCTTTTCTCTGTCAAATGCTACTTTAAAAATACTATACAAAAGTAATAAAACGGTGTACATTCTGCAGTTGTCACAATGAGCAAGAAAGCTTCCACTCCAGAAATATTGTGTTGGATAAACGGGAAAGAACTCTGAAAACAAACCTCACGCACCACCCACGATCAAAAACATATTTAAGGAAGGTAAAGTAGACGCATTTAAGAAATGCTCACAACCACAAACATGGTTGAGTGCTCTAATTAAGAACACAAAAAGGGTTCAAAAAAAAAAAGCCACACCAAACTCCCAACTTCAAATGAAGCAAAGTAATTGAAAATGGCCATGCCAGAGGTTTCATAAGCACCAAACACAAACCTCTTGCAACTGCCTGAGTTTTAAGCAAAAGATAGTTGCTCCTGCACAAATAGTACAAGATACTGTCGTTTGACAAAAAACTTTTCTTTTCCGACTGTTGCAGATTTTTTTTTTTATCGTGAATAAAACACATGTCTACTTCCTTAAGCCTGACTAGCTCAAATGAGCAACACTCACTTTAGATGTGCAAGTCCAGATGTACTGAAGACGTCATGAACTAACAATGGCTCTTAAACAATTTCATGTTACTATAAAGCAGTCTTGTAAGAAGTCCCATGAAAAACAAAACTTTTAGGGACAGGAAATCTTTGACAGCGTCAACACAATATCACCCAATTGGGTATGGGTCAAGTATTTTAGAGTAAAAACAGTAATAAATAAGATTGATTATGATTATGAGAGCAATAATAATGAACAACTACTCCCTTAACAAGGCAACTTATTTCTTGTCTTTCCATCCTTCTCAAGGAGTGCCAAGCAGTGGCCATTATACATTTCATCCACCTCAAGAGCGCCCTCCCTTGATAAACAAAGACACCTTTGCTGTATTAGATAAAACCTAACCCCCCCACCCACCCCCCCTTCTCTTTTTGAAGATGTATGGAATTTGAATGTTAATGTGACATTGTGACAGCTTGATGAGTAGTTTGATGTACTTTTCGAGGTCCCAAGAACAGACACACACAATAATGTAACCCAATAAGGAATAAGTTTCGACAAACTAGATCTAAAGAACCTATGAGACACACAGGGCAAACAAGACTACACAAAATCAATAGTGATGTGCCTTCCAATACAATCAGAAACCTCAGCAAACAAAATGGTCTATTCATGACAGTCCACGATCCCAAATCCTAACTCTGATAACAGAAAAAAAGTGAGTGTTTTGAAATCCATGGCCTCAGTGTTACACGAATAAATTGTCTCCGTACAACAAGCAAGCCTCAAAAAAAAAAAAAGAAGAGAGAAAAATACATTTTAGAACATGCAAGACCACATCTTCTCATGTGATTGTTGGCAAGAGTATAATTTCATCCAGGAAATATGTGGCAAGCCCTTCAATGTACTGGGAATCATCAGAGGACCTCTTACAACACAAACCATAAATAGACTGCATGGAGTTCTTCAAGCTCCTCTGGATTTCTTAAATTTCAATCCATATTTTGGTTTGTTAGCAGTATCAAGCTAACCATAAACCAAGTGAAGTACCATTCCTGACGCTACTCAACCCCACAGTGAAACAGATAACACTGTTGTAAATTAGCCAAAAAAGAAACACAATAATAAATTGCACACATGCAGCCTAGGATCAGATTTAACATTGTGAATGAATGTGCTAATGCAACAGTCACAAGATTGATTAAGTGTCATTGACAGAGTGGCTATGGAAAATTTCCAGCACTTTTGTTTGCTGATGTACTGTAATGATCATTATGCAAGTTCATAATTCCATGCATAAAAAGTGAACAGGATAAATCCTGGCACAGTAAAACCCCATCCCTAAGGACACATGTTTTTTTGTTTGCTTTTTAAGGAAATCTGTGAAGATTATTTACATTTTTCATATAAAATCTAATTACTCCAGTTCTTGGTACTGTTCTTAACACCAGCAACAGGACATGTGTCTTATCTGGACACTAGTTAATTTACACATCCTTACAGTTCCATTTCACCTGAACTATCTTTTTCAATAAATAGTGGAAATTCAACTAATTATTCAAGAGTAATCAAAAACTTTTTACAAAATAAGGATCAAATATAAGTAAAAGAGAAAGAAAGAAAACCTTGACTAACTGTTGGCTTTGTATAAATTACCAACTGTAAATAAAATGATATACTTTTTATATATTTTTTTCAATATTCTTTTCTTTTTTTATGAGAAGTCCATTAATGTTTGGAAATAATGTTCTCCTTGGTAAATCACAGGCTCTCTAAAGAGCCCAAACTTTTATTCATGTGCAGTATTAAAGTCTGGGCCTAGAACAATTGAAACATTCCTTTGAGACAATGTGAATCACCAACAGGGGGAATACAGAATTATTAACTAACTCTGTGTTTACTTACGGGGGCTTTTTAAATACAGCTGCCTCCATTTTCTCCTTTGGTCATGTACAAATGAATCCCTCGTGTAATACACTTGAAGCATCCTGCTGGCAGAGAAGAAAACACATTATTTCAATAGGGCTGTAAAGTGAATGTCCCTAGTTCACAACATATCATGTGTAGTGCTATGGACAATGTTTCAGAAGTTTAAACCAACTCAACAGAGCCTATTCACTTCCAACTTGAAAGATTGGATATGTCAAAATCAATATTGTTATTCCAGTTAGTTGAATAGCAGTACAGTTCAAACAGCAACAAATTTTGGATGTGACCGAAAAACGTCCCACAACTCGAGTACAATTTTGAGCTTTGACAGTCAATAGCAGTACCGTTTTTGTACCAATCCTCAATCCTCTATGAAAATTTGCCAGCTTGTGTTTTCTTTCTATCTCTCATTAACATTGCCTCTCTTCCACTTGCCAAGGTAGCCAAACCTTTCTAGATTGAAGATAAAAGTAATGTGGCCAATAATGGATCTCTTAACTGTTAAGCTGATTTATAAAGAAGACATTTTCCCTCATTTTTCCAGGTAATCAGTAATTCTGATCAATCAAAGGACTGAATTTTACTTGTCACGCCATAGAATGAATGAAGCCCCAAAATAACGTAAAGGAACATATTTATTACTAAAATCTCGAAAAAGGCTAATAGAGAGGAAAATAAAATTGAAAAGGGAACTTGCCAAACACACAGGTCAAATATAAGAGTTTCCCGATACCAAGTGTCACATAGCCAAGAAATGCAATAACCACACCATTTCAGATTACAGGTACCACAATTTATTGTGAAGTATATCACTAACTTTAAGTCTTTAAATCATACATCACTTAGACAAACATTGGTCAGGGCAAACATGTACGGTTTATTAAGTAACATTTAAACTAGAGAAAACGGGAAAATAAAGACACACGGAACAACAGCTTAAAAACAAGAACATTTTTGCAGCAATGTATATATGGATGGAGGGGCAGGACAGGACTAATGGATAGGATAGGTTGATGTTAAAAATGATCTACAGCTCTAGAACTCCTGCTTTCTACCAACAGGCATGGATGCCCACTAAGCTAAGAGTACATAATTGATTTCAAAAGCAAAAATATTTTAGGTCCATGGCTTGCAATGCTGAAGCTACTGGAGATATTTTAAACAAAATAGTGGTAAATATAGTCAAATAGCTTCAGCATAGTTCACATGAATGGAATGTCATTGAAATAGTCTGATTGGACAAAATAGAAAAAAAGGGGTATATAAATAGTTAAAATAACACAGAGCAGCTCTTGCCAGTAAACTATACAAACATCAAACCCAAGTCAGATAGGTCATCGTAAACAGCGCACTAACGGTGGACAGAAGTCCTGAGGACTCAACCACAACCTTTAAGTCCAGTCTTATAGTCAAAGTGAAAGATCTGTTAAAAGAGCAGAGATAGTCTCAAGTCTTTACCCTATCACCAAGAAAAAATAGAAATGATAGCACCAGCAAGATTTGTTTAAAGTTACTTGACACATGCATCACATGTCCTTAATCTTGAGATTCTTAAAAAGTGTACAAAATAATAGTAATAGTAATAATAATGCGGCCGAGGCAACCAAAATTTGTACAAAGTCATATTTTAGGAGTCATAAAGAGTATGTACAAAATATAGAAAACTCTTCACTCCAGAAACCTTGATGTTTGCAAGAAGAAATTGACAGTTATGAGATCACTCTCGACTACGGCCTTCAGAGAGAATAAACTAAACTTGTACTTTAGTAGTATTGTACAAATACTTTATCAGATAAGACCACTGAACTTCATTATAAGATTGGCGGAGATCTTGTGCAACATTACAACTTAAGGTCTAGGTAGTTAAACCGTGCGCATGCATGCATGCATGGGTTGCTTGTGGCTCACTATTTTAGCTAAAATTGGGTGTTTTGATGGCAGAAAAAAAAGTTTTAACATGTTTAGGATTCAACACGAGGATAATACGGGTGAACTAGATGAATTAATGTAAATTAGCAGACGTCCGCCGCTCGTCTTAGCTGAGCGCTATGTATCCATACCGCGCTTGCACGTCTGCCAACTCATATTAACTTATCGAACTGTTAAAATTTGACACTCATTTATTTTCCGCCATCAAAACACCCAATTTCAGCTAAAATAGTGAGCCGCAAGCAACCCGTGCATGCATGCATGCATGCTCACGGTTTACCTACATAGACCCATAGGCAAAGTATTGGCACAACAACCAGAATATCTTAATTACATCGCAGTTTGATTAATTCAATTTAAAATTTTCTAATTACTACACAGCAATCACAGTTTAGTTATTACTGAATAAGTAAACTTGCACATGAACCATTGCATTCAAATCATGCAATACAAGCAGGTGGTTGACAATACCAACTTTCAATGTTAAGAAGTCACTAAACCTGCTCTATGAAAACTCATTTATAAAGAAAAGAATCATAAATAAAATGTTACAGAAGTTTATTAGTATCAAGTCGTGGCAGGGGGACTAGAAAAATACTTTGCAATAAAAAATTGAAATGCAAAGCACTTGATAATTTAAAAATGACATAAGAACTTGTGGAAGGGTGTTTAAGATAACGAAATCCTGGGAACCCAACCACTTTTGGTCAGAAGCTACTTGATACAATCAATGGCGTTGTAAATAGATCTATTAGTCATATTAGCAGGATTAGAGAGAAACATTAAGCTGTGAAACATTGAAAGAATGACAGTACATTACATACTGATAAAAACTCAAAGCGATGGTAGTGTGTTACACAGTTTCACGAAAGAATTCAGAGTACAATTAGACAAATTCAATTTAACTCGTTGCCTAAAGATAGATGGAAAATTTTAAAAAAAGGAGGAGAGAGGAAGAAAGCAATTTGTCTTCTTTGTTGCTAAAGGTAGAAAAGGTTTAAACATTGAGTGACATGTCGGGTGAGGTGAAAGTTCCATGTGTTGGCAGACATGGCCTTCAACTTACACACATTGGTTGAGACAAAGTCGCTCAGTAGTTACAGCAATGACATGGCATACCTCCTTGGTTAAAGCTGCGCTATTGCTGGCTCCTACAAGTTGAGACCCTGCTGAATCTGTATTCTTATGAGCTTCTCCTATGGATACACTGGGATTTGAGGATTCGTCCAAAGAAAAAGATGTTGAATTAGAATCTTCTCCACCTGGGACTATAGATTGGTTGGGAGACTCATCCCCCTGAAAACAACAAAGTAATTTATTCCTCACAAGACATGTCAATGGGCGAACCTTGCAACTTCAGTTGTTCAGCACTTCATCCTTATCTCACCTGGCCACTAGACTCGTCACCAATTTTTGCTTTCTTATAATAGCCATCACATGCATTCTCTGATATGCGCTTCTTATTAGAAGCACCATTATTGGCATTGCTTGACCTATTTGAATCACCAGTTGGAGACATCTTGGGAGTGGTAGTCCCATTTCTTGGAGTTTGGGGAGGATTTGAGTTTGATGTGCTTGTCTAGAGAGAATAAGTAAAACAAGTTAGAATTATAACAATCACCAAAAAAATAATAAAAAAAAACAAAACAAAGGGTATTAGTCAAAATATGTACCTTACGCTCTCGCTTTAAAAGATTTGGAGGAACATAACTCTGCAGTTGTTTCCTATCAAAAGAAGACATTTTGGAGAAGGTTACTAAAAGGCAAAATAAAACAAATCTTAAACAACTCTTTCAAAGTCACTTTCTACCTTTTCACATAGCGTGCTTCAATTTTCATTCCATCCTTCATCATTTTTATTTGATGAGCTTGTCTATGAACTGCAAGAATCAACAATACTTAATCATGCAACATCACCATTTTGCAGTAAGACAATAAAATAGTTTTTCCATTTCACTTACCTGTCTCAGTGAAAGACTGAATATCATAAGTGAGATCTACATTTAAGTGCTCAGTCTTAGCAAATACGAGGCCAATAAACCACATAGAGCCCAAACCCTCTCCTTTTCCTGGTTTTGATGAGGGATTGGGCGTGCTAGGAGCTGGTGTACTTCCAGAGCCTGACACACCAGAAATTGGAGGGGTGTCAGTTACTGGGTTATTTTCTAAGGTTTTATCAGAAGGATTTTCAGAGGGCTTTTCTGATGTTTTTTCAGATGTCTGTGTGGGTGTTTGTACGGGTGTATCCAGACTTGGTGGATCAGAAGGACTTGGAGTTGCAGGCTGATTGCTTGACACTTGATCATTGCTCTCATAAAGAGGAAAACACTCTGGATTAACATGAGCCAACTTGATATGCTGATTGCGTTCCAAGTTCCCAATTAAATGACGAACTTTGGACTCAACAAGACCACACCACTCAAGCTGATCTTCAGGAGTGGCAGCACTTGCTAGTAAAATTATGTAATGCCTTCAAAACACAAAAGAAAACAAAAATAAATAATCCCTATCATTTTAACATTAGGTGTAAGAGATACGAACAGCAGCAACCAAACTTACTTGTATTTTTGAAAGAAATTTGGAGGTTCAAATAACTTATCCCAAGTTGCACGGCCATGCACCATAATATCATCAGTGATCGCCAGCCCTTGTTGAAACTCTTCTTCCATAATTGTTCTTGTGGACATAGATACGTTGAATGTAGAATTTTGTTGTGGATAGGCGGGAGTGATGATGGGCATCAGATGATATCGATCAGAAATGTTGACCTGTAATTTTGGAAAAAAAATGAAAATTTAAGTTTAAAAAGCTGTCACTAAAAGAGGGTCTATTAAACTTTAATCAATCAATACGAACCCTTGGGTCCCAAACTGGAAAGCCCAGATTGACATCGTCCAATTGCTTCAGTAGCACAGGTTGAGGCCATTTCCATTTAGAAAATACCAAAAAGAACTTATGAACTAGAGTAGCTGCTACAGCATTAGGATACAACTGGCATGTCCGTGCCACAAGCATGGCCCATGAGACACCACCAAGATAACCTAGAGCATTGCTATAAATTCCATGTTCTGAAAGAAAAATTGGGAATGTGACAAACAAAATATTTGTGATTGTGGATAAAGAAAATAATTCAAGATAGTTACTTTTGGCCCATAATTTAATTGCTCTTAAAGCTAATCTGAAGTTTTCTACATTAGGAACAAGACGAAGGATTTCATCAGTCACTCTACATCCATTAAGACTTCTCACACATTTTTGATCCAGGTTTTTAAGAAGCAAGTCGTCTTTTAAGTCCTGGAGAAGAAGTCATATTTTAAGATAAAATGAAAATTCACAAAAACAATAAAGAACTACAAATAGTTCTAAATGGAACATATTTACCATAGTATCAGGAATTTCCTTAAGTGCTAGCCTAGCAAAGAGCATATCAATTTCTATTCCATCAAAGTTCATTTTAATTACAGGGACAAATGCTTCAGGAACAGCCTGGAAACAAAAATCAATAAATGAATAGATGTGCAATATTTAAAAACATTGAAATGACAAAAAAAAAGTTGATGTATCATACTCTGAGATCTGTGACCTCTTCTTGCTCTTTTAATTTGTCAAAGAATGTAGTGAAATAATCTGATCGATCTACATGTCTTGGAGCAACACAGAGCGCGTCAATATCAGCACCTTTGTGGTGAACACCCAAACGATAAGATCCAAAAGTGTAAATTTTGCCACCAACTTGATCCGCTACATTAGGAGGCATGTTACGATTAATACTTGACTCACGGATCCACTCTTTAACTAAGTTATTTAATTTGCTTAAAATTTCCATCCTGAAATAGATTTACACATACTTATAAAACATTCTAATATCACAAGTTTCAAACAAAATTTGGAAATAACAAACCTGTGATTTAATTCTTCTTCAGACACTGACATATTGTATTGTTCTAAGGTTTCAACAAGTTCTTCGGTTCGCACATGATCAATCTGCTTGGGACCAGCCAAGGTAATGGCTGAGGTCATGCCCAAGGTACGCTGCTGTTGCGCCATACTTTGCTGAGGGGACCACATCTTCAAGAAAGATAACTTAACACCTATTGAAAGGAAGAGCGTATAAAGCAATAACTGTTTGATAGATTAGACTTGACAGATTACTTCAGCATGAAAATACAGTACCTTCAGATAACTAAAAGGGGATGACAATACATAACATCAATTCTGTTAGAAAGGGAATGTTGGCTCCCTATCTTATGGTATAGATTTTCACTAACTCGAGGTCCATCTGAAAACCATAAGTATACATACATTTAAGGGAATATTTTTCATTAAACTGTTAGGAGCTCACCAATAAGATTACAATGTAGATTACTGTACATGTATGTGCACTTCCATGACAGTGTGTACAGAACTGACCAGAAAATTTTGCAGAGAAAACAGTGCTAGTTTGTTCTACTGTTTCCCAAATCAAAAGCATGATATAGCTCATCGAGAGAGTGGGATAGAATGACGTAAGACAAAAGATTAGTTTAACTAAAAAAATATAATTCCTGAACTACAGCAGAACAGCATAATGTGTCCATTTTCCCAGTTTGCACCCACCCAAGTAAAAATCCAATATGTTACTTCTTTGAAGTGTGCATAACACATAAATTGAATTAACCAACTTCAATATGAGTAAGAAGTGAAAGCATAAGGTGGTAAATAATCTAATGAAAATCTGAACAGCAGGGTTTATTACAATAAAAAAATAAGTTATCTCAGTGATGACATTGCTTTGGGTAAGGAAGATGAAAATCATGCAAAAGACTGTACAATATTAGAAAGCAACTACTAATGGTGGCTCTTCCCTGCTTGAGTCCTTGCTTGCATTTGCTCTTGTCTGGCCAAAATCTAACGTGCATGCCATCAAACTCATAAATGACATTTAAGTTTACTTACAAGCAACCTGGTAGAAGTAAACTTTCAATAATAAGGCGAGGGAATCTTTTCCCCCAGTTTGAAGAAATATTGTTTTAAGTTCTGAGCATACAAGGGTCTAATATTTAAGAAAAAACTTGAATGATCCTCACAAGATTACAAATTAGCTTCACGCATAATCTTCTTTAATTGTTCAATGTTAGAGGACAGCTTATGTATAGCAACTTCAAGTTCATGTTGTCTCTTTTCTATTTTCTTCAATTTTTCAGCATTGTTCTCCATACTTCTAAGAAGTGCTTCCCCTCTTATTAAATGCTTTTTCACATCAGGCTTTTCAACAATCTCTACGCAAGGGACACATTGCATCGCAACCAATCAAAGGTCCTCCATGCTGGTGCTCACTTGCACAAAAAGGAGTCCTGCTAGGCAAAGAATTGGATGTCACAACAGACAACACACCTAACATTTATCATGTTCTCAAATGTTTCAAAACAAGAAACCAGATTTTATAAGAGCTTGCCATAAGTAGATGCTAGCACATTGTTTAAAACAAATTGATTGGAGATACTTTTTAAGGTACTACCTTTATGAAAATGCTACACTTGACACAAAGACCTACACGAGAAAGATGAAGTGAACGCTTGACAATGCCTAAACCATTGTATTTATGACAATGCGACAAAACTACTCTCACTAATCCTAGATAGCCACCTAATCGGGTGAGTCACAATGTTCGGCAATCGTATTGCATTAAAACCTGATTTCTTTTACAATGCATTCAGACGGACAGCACATCATAACATGAGCAAGCTGTCATCGAGAGCAGCACGAGCGAGAGGGTTCTGGACCGTTTGACTACCGACATTTCACGTCGCCCGAGGAGCTGGATGTGTATGATGAGTAGTTTAAGTGAAATTCTGTACTAAATACTCACAGTAAAGACTTTTCCTTCGCTTGAAAAATAGTGCGATAAAAGCCAATTACACAATACCGCCGCTGGCTTGGAGATTGTACAGGCTGAAGCCGATTGCTGTTTACAGTTGGCTTCCACTCACGTTTCACTATCCAGCCGTAAAGAATATGACGCACTTTTCCCTGAGCATTACACCAATGGAGAAGCAGGTTGATCAGGTAGCTGGAAGTTGAATGAATTAAATGAATTTGGTCCCCGACGCACTCACTAACATACAAAAGAGATTCACAATGCCAATATCCAATATGGCGTCGGTATATCAAGTATATGAACACAACAGCAGTGCTAATATACGGATATTCAAAACGACATACCTACAATCAAAGAAGTGCATGAGCATGGATCTCAAAGTACTTTCATTGAATCGTCTACTTTTCACAAATAATAATGTGCGTGACAATTTTCATTAGACGAGTAATCACCCGGAACTCCACATACATTTCGTGATTTATGTTGTCTCACCTGGCATGATAAGGTCACTGCCTTTTCAAATGGCTTAAGATTATGGACTGACAGGCTTGACTTGGTTTTATTTTTTAAATTTATTTGTATTCATTTAAAGTGTCTTAATTGGTTAAAAGGGAATCCCACTCTGTGAATGAGTAATAGTAGCAATAATAGGTAAATAGGTAAAAATCCAAAGACAGTCTTGATGAATACTTTGTATAGTTTGCTGGGGGTTCATTTATGTGGCTTGGTATTATTTGTTTACTTGTTCAGTAGCTTATCACTTGTAATCCAAAACACCATTTCTACTTTTAAGCGCACTTCTTGTTCCTTCGTTGTCTGTTCTATTTGTGAGGCATGTGTTTGAACTATGTCAGTTTGAACCACAATAACAAACCCCAAATTCACAAAAGAAATTTCTTATGATGTGTCACCAAATCATTGTGCAAAACCAGCAAAACGCCCCCTACCGGCATCCGGCCCTATTGGGTGACTTTGCCTTATAAATTGACATTAATGAATGTCTAGGCTTAAAACACACAACTTTTGTTTTCTTTTCTTCATATTTTATTCTGTTACCCTGCTTACGTTTACAGAAAACTAGATTGGGACTGTTGCTAATTACCGTTATTTTGACTTTTGACAGGATATCCACAAAATTCCTACTATTTGAGGAGTACCTGCTGAACAATGCGTGATCAGGAATATTTCCTTAGTTGTGCCATTTTCTTGGGGTTGATGATTCAACCCATTACATCAATTCTTTATCCCTATGAGTCGGAAACAAGGGAAGTCAAAGCCCTTGATGGACTGTGGAAGTTTTGTACTACACCTGCTAACAAACCTCCTGATGAAGGATTTTCTGATCAGTGGTATGCCCCCAATGACAAAATGGTAATTAGTATGATATGTGTTGTACAATTCTTGAAACAATAACAATCCATTCAATCTTTTTGTTGTGATTAGTCAGTTATATCGTAGCATTTCTTTGTCATAAAAATCTAGTTATTCTCGATAAGCTTTTCAATTATCTTGTTTCATTTCATGTAGGATAATCAACATTGCCAACTGATGCCAGTGCCAGCCAGCTACAATGACATTCCTACAGATTCTTCAATAAGGGACTATGTTGGCTGGGCTTGGTACAGAAAAATTCATTTTGTACCAAGCAGATGGTCAAATGATGATTTGAAGATATTTGTCAGATTTGGAAGTGTGCATTATTATGCTGTGGTGGTGAGTAAAATCGTAGTCTTTTTTAAATTGAATTTTAATCCATGTTCCGAGTAAAATGATTAATGAATCTTTCCTTGCCGTAGTGGATGAATGGTCAACAAATCGGTGAGCACGTTGGTGGACATCTTCCCTTTCAACTGGAGGTGACATCTGCCTTGAAATATGGTTCTTCCAATTCTCTGACTGTTGCTGTCAACAATACACTCACCAACATCACTTTACCACAAATGCAAATACATCATCCAAATGACACATCAAGGTAACAATTTGTTGTATGATTTTAAATTTTTTAATTTCATGTAATTTTTCTACATTTTGCCCTTTATTATTTTAGGTATCCTCCAGGGTACATTACATACTCTCAAAAATTTGATTTTTTCAATTATGCGGGAATACATAGACCTGTCTATCTTCTTGCTCTGCCAGCTGTTCACATTTCAGATATCAATTTGATCACTGAAGTGGAATATGAAAAGAATGGTAAATGTATTATTGTTATTTGTTTGTTTTTTGTTGTTTTTTTTTGTTCACTGGTACACCAAACTTATATTTTTTGGTATGTTGAAAATAGTTAAGGTTGTGCTTTTTAAATTGGTTTTATGAAGGTGAAAGCAACACAACAATTGGAAATATTCAATTCCTTGTGGCGCACACATATCAGGGCTCAGCAGATGATGTCATGTGTGATGTCTCTATCACTACTCAAGGAGGAGGTGAAGTTCATCGTTCCATTACCACTTGTTCTTCTACCATTACAATTAGAGGTGCAAAGCTATGGTGGCCAAGATTTGCACATGCCAGACCAGGATATCTTTACACTTTTGAGGTATTACTAATATCCACTTCACTGTTAAAAATAAAATATTGGATCTCATAATCCTTTTCTGCTTTTAATAAGGCCTACTGTTTTCTGAATATTTTTTTGTTCCTTAGGTTTCCTTGTTGATTCAGGGCAGGACTATGGATGTATACAGGCTTCCATTTGGAATTCGTTCAGTTTCATGGGACAGTTCCGTCCTGAAGATTAACCACAAGCCAGTTTATCTTCGTGGTTTTGGAATGCATGAAGATTCAAATGTAAGAATTATTGATCATGTGTGGGCTAATTCTGAATTTATTTGAAGCAAATCCTACTTTTTTCTAGCTTCGAGGAAAAGGCTTAGACTTGGTTCACACTATTCGAGACTTTGAATTGATAAAGTGGCTTGGAGCAAATGCATTAAGAACTTCACATTACCCCTACTCTGAAGAGATAATGAATATGGCAGATGAGTTTGGAGTTCTTGTTATAGCGGAGACCCCAGCTTGTACGATTGAGTAAGTCTGCTTACAAGCCAGTGTTGTATTGTTCCTATGTTCATGTCATGAAGTAGGATGTCAAGAATAATCCTGGCAAAACTTTTCAGCTCATTTGGAAATGAAATTCTATCTCACCACAAGGCAGTGTTGAATGAGTTGATATCAAGAGACAAAAACCATCCAAGTGTGATAGCGTGGTCTATTGCAAATGAGCCATATTCTGATCTCCCGCAATCAAGCAGTTACTTCAAGTAAGACTTCGGCTAAATTTGTACTATTTTAAGTTTTGAGTTGACATATTGCTGAATTTTTGTTCTATACTTTACAGAACCTTGGCGAAACTAATTCGGTCACGAGATACAACAAGAGCTGTTACTTTTGTTACTAGCCGACACTGGGACAATGATAAGGCTGTTAGTATGTTACTTAATGTGTTTGACATTCTTTGAATATTGAAAGTTTTCTATGTATGTTTGTATTTCCTTCTTCTCTAGGTTCAGCATATGGATATTATCTGTGTAAATCGGTATGCTGCCTGGTATTCGGATTCAGGTTTACTGTCTCTCATTGAAAGACAAACCAATGAAGAATTAAAATCATGGCATGATAAATGGAAACGACCCATTATCATGTCAGAATATGGAGCAGGTTCATTATCTGGTTTCCATTTGGTACTTACTGCAAACACTTTGAAATTTTCAAATTTACGGACTCTTTTGTCCTCCTTCAATAATGTGAACATCTGTTGTTTTAGCTTCCTGCTGCCATGTGGACTGAAGACTATCAGATAATGACATTTCTAAAACACTTCCCTGCCTTTGACAATCTACGCTCGAAAGGCTTGATAGCTGGTGAAATGATTTGGAATTTTGCTGATTTTGCTACTCCTCAAGGTACTCTCATCTATGGGCTGGGTGGTTTAGTGTTTAATAGTTGTAGTTTCATATCCTTCACCTTGTTTTCACAGAATACATCCGCCCTGGGGGATGTATGAAGGGACTTATGACACGGGACCGTCAACCGAAAGCAGCTGCTCATCTTGCTAGGTGGCGATATTGGAAGTTAGCTCAAAATATCAGTGGGTATGACTTACCTCATGATCTGTTGTATTCATAATTCTAAAGTAGATAGTAAATGCTGGTCAATTTATCAATCTATATCAATCTAAGCCACAAGTAAATTGGAATAGTTATTTATTTTCAATTTTATGTAAGGTCAAAGTCAGCTCTTTGGAACATTTTCAAATACCTATTTTATACAAAATGTAATCTACAATAGATCATAATAGAATGTGAATCTTTATCAGCTGAGTACTCCTCTAGACATTTCAACTTATGTATAAAGGTTCACTACAAATAAATTATGTTAAGCGATAAGAGAATTCCTTTGACTGACTTATGATCCTATTTCATCATTCAGTTATTGACTTTCAAAAAAACAAACAGAAAAAAAATCTTCTGAATGGAAAAGGCCAACGAACAACTTATGACAAGTGATAAACCTCTATGGCTTAAAAGAATACAAACATTAACAAAGTATCTACCTAAAAATGGACGCTAAGAAGCCATCAACAATTATGTATCACAAATTCACAAGACACTTCCTAATTTCCCTTGGCACCACACATCAAGAAGGGTCAACAATTATTGATTGATGATACAAATTTAACTCTAATGGACATGACAAATAGAAAGGCATTTTAAGTTTAACAAAAACTTCACACCCTATTCATTACCATAAAGACCAACATAAGAAATAAAAGAGCATTTATTTCAAAAGTGTAACAAATAAATTAATAACTAATCATAGAAAGCAATATGAGAGAAAAATGAAAAAATGGTAACAAGATAAAGCAAATGTGTGTAAAGTAAAGAATATTAACTTCTGCAAAACAGAATGAGAGTCTCCCTGCAGGTACTACTGAGCTTGGATAAAATCTCTTCAGATGATTAAGGACAAAATAAAATATATATGATAAACAAATTTAACAATGACTAGTATGGAGTATGGTAAAATATTCAGCATGTACCTAATATGTTGACAAGTGTAAGGGGGTAAATGACACACTTGTCCTTTTTGGTATGAGTTTCTTAAAAGTAGTAAATTATTAAGCACCAGACAAGCCACAAATAAGCTATGTACGATATGATGAGTGCTATTATGTGCCTTCAAATCAAAACATTCAGGCACAACTTAACAAAGTCAACAAGTAAATATAGGAATAGATAGATTACTGATGGACTACAAACCACAACTTTGATTTGCACAAGGCATTCAAAGGAGTGAGTTTCCCATGACAAAGAATAGAAGAGAGGGGACTTTTTCACAGATCTTTTCATACACTTCAAGAAATTCAAAGACCGAAAATATCTCACCAACCACAAAAGAGGGATATGTGCCATTCACACTTTACAAGTTGAACAAATGAAGTTTTAAATGTAACAGCAGATTCCAGAGCTTGCTATTTTGAAATCTATGACATAGAATGGACTTTCAGACTGTTATATAATCAGTCCCTTTCTCATCAAGATTACAATTGCTGACTTAACTCACCAAAGAACTTCTTTTCAAAGGAAATCAAGTACAAAGTTTCTCCTAAGTACTATACAACAATAAAAACGAAATTGAAATGTGACAAATTAAGTTATCTATAATTCTATCATTTTTCAAGTATTAACTAAAATAAAGAGTACACAGCATAAATAAATATCAGTAATAAGATCTCAAATTTAAATAAAAACATCTTTTGTAAGGGTCTCTGTGGAAGGTGAACCCACAATGAACATTTCACAAGGGAACGTTTATGACAACGCCTGCTACGCGCTGGGTAGGCCAGCCCGTCAAGCAGCTCTGTAAAGTCGGCGGCCCGCCCAGAGCGCCCGTGCCGGAGCGTCGGGCAGGAAAGCGTCTGCACCTCGCGTCTAGCTCGCGTCCCATTGGGGAAAGTTTATTGTAGGAGCACCTTAAGACTGAGTTTCAGCAGATCAATAAAGTTACCTTTTCAGTCAGTATGGTGAACAATAATTCAAGCTTATACTTAAAAATTATTACTCTATCACAACAGGAAGTGCAGTCGCTTCTGTCCTTTACAGATGACTCCCTTCACGATGTTTGTCTTGAGAATGGTCACCCTCATTATCCTCATCGTCTGCAGAGAGAAGGGGCTCAGAGTTCAGAAGAAGTGAATCTTTGGAAGGGCCTGCACTGTGGCCAAGAATTTGCTTAGCACTTCGTTTCTTGCGCCCGGTAAACATTCGCGCTAGTTGAGCAAACTTTTTACGTGACACTGAAAGAGAAGCGATGACAATAATAAGATTTTGAAGGCATAAATTGTCACAATAGTTGGGATAAGTGTAAATCATACATTTTCCCATGTTTCGAAGACGCTCCCTAAATAAATCGTCATCATGCAGTCCACTAGCTGATTTGTAAGGTAATTCACCTGTTGGAGACTCAGCACAATGCTCTTTATGTAAATAAGAGAGGAGAAAACATTAACGTCAACAAATGAAATTGAAAATGAAAAAGCAATAACAGGCACTGAGTGGATTGTTCAAAATTATACCTTTCTCAAGAGCAGTTAAAAAATCTTTGTTCCATCTCAGCTCGGCCATAAACTCCTCATTTTGAAGGAACAAAGCAATACGTTCGTCTTCCAAGAATTGGTCAAGGTCAGGATCTGCAGCACTATCACCCAGCACGCCTCTGACTCTTTGGTTTTCGGCATACCTCGCCTGCAGCATCTGTTGGCTTAGCATCATAGTCTGAAAAAAAAACACGAAACAGAAGCGATTGAAAGACGCCGCTCGCGTAACTCCACGATAAAACCCTCGGTGCCCCCCCCCCTTTTTCCATCAGTCAAGTGGTCAAGTGGGCGAGCAGGCGCTCGTGAGGGGGCTCTTTGGGCGCGCGCGCGCGCGAGTCTCAGCCTGCGAGGTGGGCGGTAGGCCGCGCGGACGCACCCGTGCGTACGGATTGCCTACCCCCCACTCGTCAGGCGCCATCCCTTTCCCTCCTCCCCACTCACGTCCTCGGGGACCTCCGGGATCAGGTCCGGGGCCATGTAGTGGCTGAACGCCCTGCTCCCCTCGACGAAGAGCGAGGCCGTGGTGCGGGCGCAGCTCTGGGCGAACGCGGCGTACGAGCGCACGGCGCGCTCCGCCCTGCGCCGGTGCTTCTCGCGGCGCAGGTACCGCCTGCGGGCGCGGCGCTCGTGCCAGCGGGCCTGCAGCTGGCGGCCGCGGTGCTGCAGCTGCGCCACGAACTGCCTCCACATGGCCGGGCCGTGGGGTCAAGGGTCGGGGGTGCGACTGCCTCCTGCCCTACGCGGTCAGCTCGCTTCCACCTCGAGGTGTCCACGTCGAGGGAAGAAGCGGGCCGGCGGGACGCAAACGCACTGCACTTCGCCAGCGAAAGACTGGACTGTCGCGGTCCGACAGCAGCCCGACTGCTTGCCCCCCGGCGGCCTACGGCGGCCCTGTCCACTCGCTCTCTCTCACTCCCACTCCCAGGAGGGCCCCCGCGGCCGTGACGGGGCAGCTCGGCGCCCTGGCTTGCCCCGGCCTGGCCTGACACAAGTGGTCAGCCAATCTAGCACCGTGTCCATCCGCTCCTTGTCCGCGATGTCACACTACGCCGCGCCACCCGCCTCCGCGTCTTACAAATCTCAGAGAGCCATTGTGTCAAAACAATGAAAAGTTTGTGCGTAGAAGAGGGCTGATTTCAGAGAAAGAAAATAATAAGTGCCCGTCAAACCACAGGGAAATGATCGGGCCCTACTGATGTTTTCACAATGTGAAAACCAATTAATTGATCAGCCCATTGCTCAATATTCAAACCAAAGGGTTTGTAGGAGCTTCTCCACAGCAAGACGTAGTTATATAAGACTATTCTCACACCTTCCAGCCCCTTTCGAAAACTTTTCGGCCAAAGCTTCAAAGCTTCACCTTAAGGACGGCCCCCGATCTCGATGCGTCCCCCCGAGGCATGTCCAGTCCAATGGTCCAGCCGGGCCCGCCAGCCTCCCACTCACAATCAGGACAGCCGGCGAGCCGCGCCGCCGCGCCGCGCCGCGCCTCCGCTCTGCCTGGCTGCCCCAGCGCCAAAAGTCAGAGAAAGACAGGTTGCCCTCCAAAGGCTGCATTAATTCGTTGGATCAGCCTGACTTTTCTAAGGAAGGTGGCGGTGACCCTATTAAATAATAGATTTCAATAATCCCTATGATGATGCTGGTCCTCCGAAAATTATCTCTCAAAATGCTTTTCCTGAAGGTTTACAGAAGGCAACACACACAATAGTTTTCGGGCATATGGTCACATGTCGAGCGCAGAGAGTGAAAATTTGCTTTTAAGGTCAGTCTTTCACTTTGAGCATGAATAAAATTAATAGCTGCCAGGAAGAAAATTATGGAAAAGGCCACATCATGCACAAAGGCATTGATTTACAATCAGAATTATGACCATAGAGCATTTCCTTATTAGAAACTAATTGATATATTTACCTGCTTTCGGCTATGTGAAGGTGTTAACCTTAGAAAGTCATCTGGTAGTTGTCCCAACATAGGAGGATCCCAGCCCTTGATTTCTCGAAGAGGAAGCTTCCCACTGTAAGGAGAGAATTTTTTAAAAATATTAACCGAATGCATATAATGGTGAGAAACTGAAAAAGGAGTAATTGAGTATATAATGTTCATTAAATAGGTAGATTCTTACTCATGGGTTGGTAGTCTAGAAATATTGTCTGGCACAACACCTCCACAAGCTCCCCCTGATGCTCCTGCTAAGGAACTTGCAGCAGCTACAGATTGAATGAGATCTGGTGTCTTTGAGGGCCCGTCCGCCTCATCAAGTTGGTGACGTAGCTGTTCATTTTCATAATCTGTATTCATGGCTAATAATTGATCTATAGTGGCATCCACGGCACCCTGATTCGATCTTAAAACAGCCTGATAAAATTGTGAAACTATTAGTGACATCTTCTATAAAAGATAACATATGTAGAATTTACAGGAGACAAAAATTATCAACCTCAATAACTGCATCTTCCATTCCAGGAAACATAGTCTTGAAATCTCGCATAGCTTGTTGAAAATCTAGCTGCTGCGTTGACGTCATTTTCTTCAAATAGTATCCTCTCCGACTCAGAATCTGAAAATGGTATAAAATACAGACCACATTAGAGCAGCTAGCCCAGTAATCAGTGATTTTGCTGAAGTCGACCACCATTAAATCATCAACTCAACCACAGACTTTTGAATGGAAAATGAGTTATTTTTGATTTTTTTAAACCACAATACCAAAAAGTTTGTCATAGAAGCACAGGATTGTGCAATTAAGGTCATATGTTGAGGAACGTTTCTTGAAAGGGTGATACACAACCTACAAATAATGCAAAATACTGTCCAAGGCAATTAGTGAAGATTAGGAGAAAAATGAATTTCAAGGATGAACTTGTAGAAACTTCTTTACGTAAAAGCTCACCAGAGTACAGTAATAGACTTCAAAAAGCATCAAAAAGCCAAAATGAAAACAGTATTGGAATGCCAATGACATGTAACTCACGGTTGGAGAAGAATTGTCGTGCTTAACCGGTTATTGCATCGTAGGAAATGGAATTTTCTAATTCATGAACGCACTGGCAACCGATATTAATAAAATGTTGTAACATCCATACTTTGGAACAAAACAAGCAGAACGAAAACCGCTCTGACAGGCGGATCGCTGTACATTATTTCAGAAGTGACAGGTTACGAGATTAAAAGCCCAACGGCAAAATGAGATGAGAACAACATTTCTGTCTGTGAAGAGAGATTTATTACATTCTATTGATAAAAATTACTTGCCTATGTGCCTTAAATCATGAGAAAAACATTTATTTTTGACAGTCAGACGTCAAGCTTTTCTTCTGCTTAGACGCGTTCCGGAAAATGTTTTTCTTCTCTCCATGCTGGCTTTGGAGTCAAGTGTACTACACGGACAGCGGTGGAGGATGGAGGGGGAAGGGGGGGGGGCGGAATCGGCGGAATTCCCTACGAGCGGCAAATTCGAATCCAAGAAGACACAACTAATATGTTCGCCTTTGTTCGCCTTCAGCAAACTTCGGGAAAACAGGAGTAAAAGAAAAGAATATCTTTCCTGTAAAAGACAAGAATAACAACTTTATTTTTTTTTCATTCCACCAAAAAAAGGAAAAAGAAAAAACACGAAAACAAAAAGCCTTGAAATCAAAACAAATCACAAAGTTATTGCAATATTAATAAAACAAAAAATACGGCTCCACAAAATTTGTATTGTCGAAAGCAGTACCTGTTTCTGGTTATACTGTACCGGTGCGGGTGCGGGCGCGGGCGGGCTGGCGGGCCAGCGGGCTTGCTTACCGTCTGTTACTTTGCCGCCTTATTGCGCGGTGCGAGTGAACAACCCTTGCCTACGCCTTCGTCCCGTGCAGTATATAAAACCAGGAAAAAGTACGGCTCAAAACACCAACCTATAGTATGACATAAATCAGGTTGGGCAACCAGCAGTTGTGATGTCTAACACATACCAAACTTGTGAAAGACAAGGGCTAACATACTTTACATTTGTGATCAATTTAAAATTTTTTGCCATGAGTGCTTAGACAGAGTTGCTGGATAATAAGAAATATCCCACAAATAGATAATAAAATAGGTCAACTGTTGCTTTTCGCAAGAGCATTTTACAAAAACACGCAACATCATTTTGTACATAGAATCAAATCACATTTGTGTTAAGTACAAACAGCAAACCTGTCATGGGTTTTACAACATATTTGTGAAAAGTTAATGGTAATTGCTTACACAAACTTGGTATTTTAGAGTAAAAAATAAATACTTATCAGCTAGAGTGCAAAGTAGCAATGATAAAGGTTGATTGTTGTCAAAAGTAAAATTCACGCTTTGCGCTTAAAAACTTACAGCAGTCCTACTGCACCTTTTATTTGATGTTTAAAATGGCAGCAGTATCAGCGGTATGCAAATTGGAATATTTTAAGATATTAAAAATGGAATGATATTTGAAAATAACAGACATTTCCGAACGGTAAGATACACAAAAACACAGGTGTGTGTTTTTTGTTTTTTAAAGGGTTAAAATGAGCTAATAGGCAATGAATGACATTTGTTAACAGATGAAACATTTCTGCCAGTCGACCTTCAAGCAGCTAATCACCTGAAAATGATAGAAAGATTCTGTGTTCTTTTAAAAAGTGCTTCAGGAAGGGCGATTGCAATCAGAAGGGGAAGAATTCAACATCCGATTTTGAACCACATCTTGAAAAAAGACCAAATGAGATTGTTTGAATGAACTCTCCTACATAATTTCATACCAAGATTGGGTATTTGATTCTGCCTCCACCGGACTTTTTCCTGGATGCACACAAGGTTGCAAAAGGATTCCACAAACCAATCAACAAAATTAATTTAGGGGGAAAAATTAAAAAATAATAAATTACTTAAAATAAAGCAAGACTAGTATAGTCATTAACAAATAATTCCACACCCATGAAACAGTTGAGAAACACAAATGGTAAATGAATTAGAGAAAGGCCACTCATAATACAGTATTTAACCAGAATCTTAATTTTCTGAGCAATTCACATCATAAATGGATTTGTTTCTATTTTTAAACAAAAAATCCTGCAATAAGCACAGGGGCATTACAAAAAAGTGCCAGAACTTCATTCAAAAATTCTTAAAATGAAAAATCATAATACTTAAGTAAAGGAGGAGAAAGAATACTTCAGTGTCTTGAATAAAGTAAAGTCAAAATGAGATTTCATTGGCATGGCCATTCAGGAAAGCAAAACCTCAGCCTCAATGCAAAGAAAAACAAAAAAACATTCTTCACCATCCTGAAGATCTGGTACAACTAAATTTCATTAATCTAAACTAGTCACAACATACAGTATGAACAGACATATGATTCTAGACATATTCAGACCTAGATTATCACATTTCAGACAGATTCTGAACAATCAAGACCCAGAATAGATAATACAATGGTAGATAAAATCTTCAAATAGTAAGGTATTCAACAAAACTTTAACAATTGCCTACCAGACTATTGTTCATCACAGGGATGTAATGTTCCCTTTAGCCTACAAAGCATTTTACATCATAGCTTACACAAACAGAACAATAGGGGTATGAAGGCTCCTATTGCAACAAATAATGGTAACATGATGGCTGTATCATCAACAGAATATGGGTCTGGAGTACGTGGTCCACTTGGCTTACGACTTTTCATTCTTATGTCTTCTTCTCTCTCTTTCATTTCATCGTACTCACTATCAGTTTGGTAGTATGGGAGCTTTGGCACATCTGCAACAATTAAACACCATACAGTTAACAATAAAACAAAGAGCAGAGAATCAATTAACAATATTTGACAGAAATAATATGAATGACAAGCATTTTAATTCACCTTCAAGCCGTCCCTTCATGACGTATAAGGCATTAATTTTTGGATTATCTCTATAACCCTGGAAGATATTAAAAATAAAGTTGACTTAGAAAATGGTTTAAGATGCATAGATTTGTTGGTGAATGCATTTGAAAATGATCAGAAAAAATATTTAACTTATTTAAGGACTAAAAGTGGATTTACCTTAATAAATTCCACCCTAATCATTCCACCCTGGATATCGGATTCTGCTCCATTTACATAGAGCTTGTCATTCATTACTGAAAATGAAATATATTCATCGTGGGCAACCCCACGGCCAACTCGCTCAAAGATATCTAAATCGCTGACTATTGTATGGTCACCATTCAAAACAATATCAAAGACCTGAAAGTAGAGAGGCAAAACAAATTACCATTGTAAAGTGACAGAATTAAAAAATAAACTGAATCCATTTCAACAACACCAACCTTTTTGTTTGCTGAATTGAAATACACTTCGCAGAACTTAAGGACCAACACAAAGTCTCCATCCTCATCAACAGGAATATCATATCCAAATGTACTGTGATGATAGCGTTCAGTCTGGTACAATATTTGGTCTTCTGGAGGAACCCTACCAATGACCAGCTGCTTACCATAACTTGACGCAGTCCCAACTTTACCAGTCAATGGGTCTTTCTCATAGTGAACACCCCAGTAATCAACATGAGCTTCACCTCCAGCATTTATGGCATATATGACATCGCCGTTATGTCCAACCGATAGTGCTGATCCAGTCAGAAATAGAACTAAAGAAAGTACTCGACTTCTAACCCTCATGGCTTCTGCTACAGTAAATTCTCATTTAGCAGAAAACTTCCTTGTGTAGTTTCGAATAAAACAATGTTTGCAGAAGTCGTTACACCAACTAAAAAAGCCGAGTAGTGTTTAAGTCATGGAAAACATTGTGATCACCACACCGGCAAACGGAACGCGAGTGAATAAACGGAAAAAGGTACAAGATACTGTCAGAAAACTACCGATACATGACATTAACGTTAAAGATGTGATTGAATCGGATTGGCCACGCATTGTTTACTTTGTTAGGTCGTTTTCAGAACAATGTAGGAAGGCCTAGAAATAACTGTTGCCAGCCAGATATAGTACAAAAATATTTTAGCGTCAGTTTTTACGCTTTAAAAGGGCTTTAAATCGTGTTTTAATCAATATTTTATTAAATAAAAATCAAAAATAAAAGTCTTTGGAAAAAGATCTTGTTTCAAGTACCCATGTACTACACGGACAGCGGTGGAGGATGGAGGGGGAAGGGGGGGGGGCGGAATCGGCGGAATTCCCTACGAGCGGCAAATTCGAATCCAAGAAGA